GGCTGCAACATGCGTGGTAACTTTACTCACAGAAGAACTGAGTACTACTGTATGTCCAAAAGTAACTTGAGAGAGCACCTTGAGAATAAGGTCTAATGGTGGATCAACTCTCTTACTCTTCGTTCCCTCTTAATTGTTATTTTCTGTAACTTGAAAGAGTGCACATGGGCTAGTACATTATCAGGGCTGCCCAGGAGCCGCAGACAACTAACTTAAAATGCCTTTAGGCAACTGGAAAAACTCACTTTTTTCATATAAGTTTAAGTGCTGGGCACCCAAGATTTCATGGTTAGGAACCTTTGGGCTCCTGGTAATTTTCCTAATACCACAGCCTTGATTATTGTTTTGCAGTGAGTCGATTAATAACCAGTACTAATCAGAATAATAACAATGACCAGTACCAATGGTTTGTATTTTTAATTTTTTTCTTCATAATTTGCACTTAGTTTACTTATGCCTGATGTTAATCACTCTCAATGGTTTTGACTAGTGATAGATTAATAATCAAACAGTTGACTACACTGTACATGTACATGTAAATGTGTTCTCACCTTTTCTGTGCCTAGAAACAGCATGTGCTCACAAAAATGAGCAAGACCTGGTAGTTCAGCTGGATCACTCATGCTGCCTTAATAATGTAACAATCAAACAAATGACTAATTAAGAGTTATTATGTCTTTCTACATGTCATGACCATATGTCAATAATGGGGGTAAGTATGTAACATGAACCTCTCACTATGGCATGTCAACTAAGTTACATCTAAAGACAAAGAGTTGTCCTTGACTTATCCTCTTTAGATGTATTCTTCATAGAGTTTCCCATTTCTGGCAGAGAGTGTTGCTTTCAGTTCATTTTTTTTCAGTCAAGTGCATATTTCAGGAAATCTTGATTTGAGAACAGCTCCCATTATTGTGAGATTTCCATCTTTGGAAGTATTCTCCATTTAAGAAATACAAAGGTAAGCTCCCTGTTTCTATCTCCTTTGGAAACATATCGGTCTGATAGTAGACCATGGTGCTACAAATAGAGTGTAACCCTGCCTTACGACCACCCCGTTAATACAGTGACCTTGTTATTACAGCCACTTTATTTTGGCCTGAAAAAAGCTCAGTCACTCATTTTCTTATTTACAGAACCCCTTAATACGGCCAGCCCATTAATACGGTCAGATTTTTGTGGCCCATTGGTGACCGGATTAACAGATTCCACTGTATTAACTAGTACAGGATAACAAATGGTAATAAAGGTCGACTTCTGTGAGGAAGTCTGTGAGATGGATGTAATATATCAAACACAAAAGACCGTGTTTGACCACATTTCCAAACACCGAGAAGAGAGCTGAAAATATGATACATAGCGAAGTATTTTTGATGAATTTTGAGGTGTTTGGAAATATGGCCAAACACTGTCTTGCGTGTTTGATATATCTTCTCAATCGAAACCAAAAATAAGGGGAAAACGGAGGAATATGATCATAAAAATCTATGCTGATTAATTAACAATTATTATTCAGCAAAGTGGAGGTAAATATCCATCACTTTCACCGACAATGAGGTGAATAATTATTGTTTTAGTATATACCACACAAGCTGAATAATTAGCGGACCAAAACATTATTTTGTGTGTGACAAGTGGTTGGAAATTTTAAAATCTCTTGAGCCGGCTGCTTGCAGGTGAATAGCATTTGCTAATCACCTCCGAGTTAACCAATCAGAGCGCGCAAAAAGCACTATTCACTTGTGTGGTATATGCTAAGATCAGATATCCAAACACTGTCACGGTCATGATTTCCTTTGTTTAAACTTGATGAATTATTAATGAGTTTGAGAATTACATTTCCCTAAGAGCAAGCTAGTGGCTGATTTCACAATGTACAGTGTAGGTCTGTAAAAAGGATGTAAAATCAGCATTGTTTACTATGGAAAAGGATATGGATGTGTGCAGGCAAGCCCTGCAAGTAACAACCCCTACCCCCCTAAAGCCACAACCCCCCTACTCCCACAATTCAATTCACCCTTATAAGATATTAATTAACGAAAACTTTTCAAAAAGTACAGTACTGTCGTTGACAACATTTTTCAGAATTATCAAATACTACATTTTAATCACTTATATTTAAACTTCTTACCAATGTGAACATCCAAAGCCGCGGCGGATTTATCAGTCAAGGGATCGCTGATCACAAGAACCCTCATGTTGTTGTTCAGTTCTAAACCACGGTAGACCCGATCATCACGGGGTGACTTTGGAACGTCGTTATAAACTTTCTTCACCCCATCCATGTTTAATCCAGGAGATCAAGTTCACCAGAAATGCTATTCAACCGACAAAGTTCAAAGAAGATGATGACCCAGCAAATTTGGTGAAAGACACCTGATTGCCTGATTGCGACAAGGATCTTAGATGGAAAAAAAATCGATCTAACGCTCCAGAAGTGCCTTACAAGTAAAATTCAAATACTTCAATGATAGCAACAACGATGTATACGGTCCTAAAATGTAGCTTTATCAATTTTAGTGCCGTTCCATATGCTGTTGAAGTCCGCCATTAGTGGGAAACTGGGTATAGTCCACGGCCAAAGGGAAAGAGGTAGGCTGGGCGCTAAAATGGTTCGCGCCAAATTTAGTTTCAACATGGCGGCGATGGCGGCATTGTTGCTTGAATTTCTTTCTGTTTCAAAGCCAAATATCTAGTTTGAGAACAAAGATAAACGCCAGTTTTGTTGTATAAGAATGGCTCACAGCAAAGGAGATGAAATTTTAATGAGTGGAGAAGCCACAGGAGGCGGTGATAGCGACGAAGAGATTGAGGTCACTGCTGCAGAGGTTCTTGTTCAACTTGAAAACGTGAGCTTTTTTATGTCTAATTCAGTAACTTGTATAGTTTTCTTTGGAGTCACTGCAGAATGCCTTGGCAGAAATTTTAGTATTACCACATAAAACAGTTGTCTATATAAAACTCAGCCACTACACGTGATTCAGTTGTGAGCATTTATCACTCAAACTCAATCCGGTATTTGATCTTTTGAATATTCAGCTGGTCAAATTTCAATCCCCCAAGCCAGCATTTATGTACCAATGCGCCACTTTAAGGCCATACCCCAACTTTCTAGACATTCACAGGATAAAATTAGTAAAGGAAAAGTAAAAAAGAACTGTCAAACTCCACCAAGGTCAATTTGTCCAAAGTTTCTCAAAATCTGCTGGGAATTTCTGAGAGGAGGAAGGGGAAGAGTCCTACGGAAAAAATTTGAGTGGTCAATGCATAAAACAAAAACCTTGACATAGCAGGCGCTTTGCCTGGCTAAGTCATTTTTTGAAGGACAGAAAAGTATACTATGGCATCAGTTAATTTTTATGTGTTAGATGTCATTTTTGTGTTCTAGAATGGTACCCTGGCTTGCGTCATTTACCATAAGGATTTGATTAAGCACTCTTCTTCAATGAGCATCCTACATCTAAGATGTGCTCCCCCCCCCCTCCCCCCACAAATTGGTGTCCCCATAGCAAAAGAAACAATCAAGACATTGACACAGAATAGACTGACTAGATGAATGAACTATGAAGTTTGCTTTCCCATCTGGACATAATATTGAGCATTATGGCTATTAGAGCTGGTATTCCTGTCTGCACTAAGCGCCCCCTCTCTAATAAGCATGCTCAGTTCTTAGTGCACCAGGCACTACAAGTAAATCAAATCATTCTGTTGTGCAAGGTTTACCTGAAGTTGAAGTTGGTTAGGTGATGAAAGACAGAAAGTCACTAGACCTGAATAATCTCTCTAGGAAAGTCATCTTAGGTCTATGTTAACCCTGTGATTTATATTATCCTTAGGCTTGGATGAATGAAAAGTTTGCTCCTGAACTTTTGGAGAGCAAAGCAGATCTTGTTGAGTGTATGCTGGATCAGATTAAAGAAATGGCAAGTTTAGAATTTCAGTGTAATTTACACTCCCCTCATGATCCCCTTCACCCTCCCCCTCTTCACCAGGCCCTTTCCCCTCACCCTACTGAAAAGACAAAGTCAGTAGAGCCACATACACTCTACACCCTGAAGGAAAAGACTAGCATTGTTTCCACAAAGAAATGTAAACAGAGGTATGTATAAAATAATGCCAAACCAGATATATAAACAAATATGCATTTCAAATGGAAACAGTATCGTAAAGGCATGAATGGGCTTAAAGCAACTTTGTTATTCCCTTTCCTTTATCTATGGCCTAACATGAGTCTTTCATTTGAGTTTGAATCACCCATCAATACCTCCATCTAACTACACTTAGATGTGTCTGCATCTTGCCATATTTACGCAGTTTTTAATGATTTGGACTCATTGCAGGAAGGAAATTTGAAGAAAGTAAAACAAGGAAATGTTGTAGCCTCATTGCATAAATTAGAGGTTAGTGATAATAATTATATAATTATTGAAAAGAGAACTAGCATTATCCAGTCTCTGACCTATGCAATTAACTCGAAATCAGATTGTCTTTCCTGTTTTGGAGGGCTGACTTATTTACAGGGAGATTGGTACTGTGTATCTTTTAAGGTATTCTGCTCACAATCCATAAACTGATATATATACCTGTGTTACTGACAATGCTTCTATCCTTTTCTTGTAGATTGACAGAATACGATTTGTACTTAGCAGTTACACAAGGACAAGGATAGAAAAGGTTCACATATTCTTAAAGTGATGAGTGAACATGTATAGTGTTGCACACTAATGACGTCGCAAAAATATAACCCCGAGTGTGACTCAGACAAACAGACCATTCCATTCCTGCTGGCCGGCCAACTCTGACTGACTGACCAACCTTGCTCCTTGATTTAGTAACAAACTTTCCCCTCTCCTCCTCTACTAAATGCAAATGCAGAGTCAAACTTCCACTAAGGACCACCTCTCTACAATGGCCACTTTTTTGTCAGGTGGATGGTCTATACATTCACTCTTATTTTAACCATTCTACAACAGTCTCCTCTAAAAAATGACAAGGGCCACTAAAGTGCATCCCAACTGCCAAACAAAGCTCTTGAGAATGGCCAGTCAATCAGTGACTGATGAAATTCAGAATGGTGTATACAAAACTCTATTTCTCCTACCTCCCCATAACGTCCTCCTCTCTACAAAGGCCACTTTGCTGTTCCCAAGTTGGCTGTTGGAAGAAGTTTGACTGTAGTAATAAGCTTTACAATACAATCTTCTCCTACTTAGATTGAAAAGCATGTTGTCCATGTTCTTGAACAAGAGGCAGCAAGAGAAGAAAGTGAACCCTCACGATTATCCCCAGAGGAGCTGCAGTATGCTAAAGAGTGAGTTTTGAAAATATAGGCATTTTGGAGGGGAATAATGGTGCTAGATTTTTTGTCAGAGTCTAAATAAGCACTGCAAGTAGCACAAAAGAACCCACAGCAATAAACATACAGAAAGACCACCACAGTGCTAGCCTGTGTAGCGATTGTTCTTGTTATGAACTAGCTGTGTGAAAAATGGAGTGAGGGCAAAACAATGGGATGAGGGGAAGAGTGAGGTGAGAGGAGGAAGTAATGCAGGAGGTTTCATTAACATTTTCATCAGGAAGGCAACTGGTTTTCACTAGTGGGCAAAATGGTTTGAACTGAGCTTCTTTATAAGAAAATCTTTCCTCTAGATGGTCAAACCAGCCAGGCAAAATCGTCCTCACAGCTGGTCAATTTGCTCAGTTTGCAGTCCATAATGAAACCCCTGGTAATGTAATTTCATTTCATTTAATGCCCAATTTTTTGGTTGCCTTAATTTCTAAAGGCCCAAAATACCTATCCCTAGGCCATCGTATTACCATAACCCTAACACTAGGCTATCGCAAGGCATACATGTTCATGTGCTTTTGTAATCCTTAATAATCTTAGCATTTGGTATTCCAGGTATGCTGATAACATGGAGGGTCTGTTTAAGTCCCTAGCTTTGCAACACATGCCAACAAACATGCAGAACATAGACAGAAAAAAATCAGGTAAGCACATTGCAAGTTAGCCATTTAGAAGTACAGTCGCACCTTGATTATCCGTACCTCAATTATCCGGATTTCTCGATTATCCGGACTTTTTCTTTGGTCCCAATTTTGTCATGAATATTTATTAGTAATGATCAAGAACCGTAGCAAAATTCTTTTTAAAACTGCAGCATTGGAAAGTGCAGTCAAAGGCGAGTTTGTTTTGCTTTTAAAGAGCAAAAGCAGTCCTCACACACATCGTAACTAATGAAGAACACTTGAATGAGTTCTGATTGCTGGCTCAGAGTTGAGTGGTTTAAGATGTACAGTAGACCATACTGTTTTCCAAGTCATTTGTAAAACTAAAAAGTGTTGTTTCACAATTAAATGTTGCTTTATTTAACAGTTTTGTTCTTCATTAATATTCACATTTTTGATTGTCCGGACCCTTGATTATACGGACTATTTTGTCTAGTCCCAACGAGTCTGGATAATCAAGGTTTGACTGTAGTGTCTTGTTATATAAAAGACTGCTCAATTCCTGTTGGTCTCAAACCTGATTGCTCAACAACCTGGCTTTTCCTGAACATGAAGCAATCTGTGAATCAGGGAAACTAGTACTCCTTGGATGGGAAGCTAGTCCTTGATAACATTATGTAACTTTAGTGTCAAATATATTAGCACTGTTATGCAAATTGGGGACACTGTAAATAAATCAACAAATATTACAAATAGAACTTGAACTATTAAGAATTCCAACTGGTAGGAGGCTGACCAATTGGCTATTTACACAGTGCAGTCAAGGAGTTGAACTCACCTTGTATTTTGTCACATAATTTTCCCGAGTGATTTGCAGTCACCCATGGTGGAGAGGAGATGCTCAGAGAATACTGATTAATTTATACCCATGGAAAAAAAATCTAGGGAAATAGAAGGAATCACACAGTTGACTTCATAACCTTAGGTCCAACACCCTGACTGTTAGACCACCGTGCTTCCAATATTAGCTACAATACAACTTGATTGTGCACTGTTTTCATTATACATGTACTCCCTCTGTGCATAAACTTCAGATTTTTCTTTCATGTTTTCTTTTCAGTTCCTAGGCCAAACATGGACAAATATGTGTTTTTAAAGGTTCTGGAAAATCAGGAGCAAGTCATGATTGACCCTGAGTATGTATTATTGATATTTACACCATGTCATAGAAGAAAACACAGCCAGTAAGAATACAGGAGAATCATTGTATACTCAACTCTATTGCACTAAACTTGTCCATCGTCCGCAGGCGCTGGGCATTTGTCGCATTGGTTGTGTTGGCCACCGTATTTTCTATGACTTGGTATAAAGGCTTGTGTATATACCAAGAAAATACAAGTGTGACTCGTGGGTTATTCCATGGTATACCACTCGAAAGCATTGCAAACCGATTCCAGCGATGTAACCGGTAGCTGTTCTTTTGCCGACGCTCACTAAGAACAGGATTTTTGCACTAAATGTGATTTGGTCTTTTGACCTTGCGAATCGAAAATGTGAATTGTCTGCAGAGAAAAAAAACATAAGATTCCTGACTCAACAAAATTAAAGGTTAGCCGCGTTTTCTATTCCACAAGAGAGCAGTTATGCTGTCTTATTATAAACCAATCAAACTTACACACAAGTGGTTCATTTTAGTGGGGAATTTGTGCTCTTGTTAACATGAACGTTAGTCTAGTGCAGGAGGATAGCCAGTTGCCTCTGACTAAAAATAAAGAATTAAAACTTTTTTCACATCAATTTGTGTTCTTACGCATTGTGTGTGGCACAGCTCCTAGTCACGCATGTGCAGTGTAATGTATTGAAGAATCCAAATAACAGTTTAACCAGTTTCCTATCAAATAAGGACTGCGCTACATAATAAATTTTAACTAAACAAGAACTGTAATTGTTAAATTTGTCTCTCCTGTTTTAGGGCAAAAAAATAAAATGTGAACAGGATAACAATTTGAAATAATTTAGAAGGCACCTATCCTCAGTTGGGACCCAAGGATGAGCACAAGTATACATGAATAGGTCCGCAATGCGTACTTATGAGCTTATGCTTAATTTTATTCCATTCGGTTGGAGTTTATTTTTAAAAGTCAGTATCTGGGAGTTGAATTGCTATAAGTAAGAAGGCAATCACTGCAACGATAAAGGTGTTACTTTGAAACTGGAGACATTGTACTCATGGTAGAAAAAAGCACAAGTATAAAATAAGCATGAGCGAAAGACGTTCAGCCAATCAGCGAGCACTTTATGCTTATGCTGACGACGTCCTCACTGGACCCTTATGCTTATGTCGCAGCTGTCCCCACTAGCGCATAAGTTTCTTACGTTTATACTTATGCTTGCGTCGCAAGTGAGGACCGGGCTCTACATGTCAATTTTCTGATACTAATCGTGCCATGTTTGCAACGTGCACGTGAAAGTTGCTAGGCACAAATGAGATCCTTGTCAAGAACTCTGAACTGTTAGTTCATACACGCCCCTTCTCGCTGTCTGTAAACTCAGTTGCTCAAAGCATGGATAACGCCATCAATCGGATGTGCACAATTCCAAATTAACTCATTACGTCTTTATACACCTCCAAAGTAATATAAGAAATACACAAAGGATGCAAGGGAAGGCGTTTTTACTGTTTTCCTAAACAAACTCCTCTTTTACTTCATCTCGCAAGCTCACGCGGCGAGCTTGGGACAGGCTGAGCGTTAACCATCCTTTGAACAACCTGGACCTTGTCCATAATTTTATTTTCACTATATCCTCAATTTTTATTTATTTATTTATTTATTTATTTATTTATTTTTTGATCAGGGAGGATCCTATCGACTTGGAGAGCGGAGCACAACACATCATGCGCTACAGTGCTATAGCACCTCTTCTTAGCAACGGATCCGTGTCTCTTCTATGACATTTGGAGTTCGTTGCATGTCTGTGATGGGTTGCTGTGTGTGTATAGCTCGCTAAAATGTGGGACCCTGGTAAATTGGGCCGTAAAACATGCGAGTTACTGAACAAACTGACGCTAGGTTTCGGCTGTTTCTTGGCTAAACGGCACGAATAGTATTTTTAATCCCTCATTAAGAAACTTTGCATCCTTGGAGACCCAGGAACAGATAGTTGGTTGGGGAGAAAGTCAAACGAACGAAAGCAGTGCGAAGGATGCTTAAACAAAAACTAGACTAAAAACACTCGTTAATGTAAACTTCCGCTGTCATTGCTTTCGAAGATTTGACCCCGGGGGAGGTACTTTG